TTGGACCCTGGAGGCAGATTGTGCCACAGCACTCCAGCCTGGGTGACAGAGGGAGACTCTGTCTCAAAAAAAAAAAAAAAAAAAAAATCAAATTTACCACATTCGGGTGAGATGAAAGATGTCCTACGGCCATCTTCCTTTACAATTTCAATAAGAAAAAGCAGAACTTACAAAGCTCTGAAATAGTCTTTTTTCACAATTGGGATCATCAAGTTAGGTTGTTTCCTTAAACACTATAAGTTCACTGCATACTTTTTTGACCACTGGCTATTTGAGACATTCAGGGTGCTGGCCTACAGAACTGTTCTCACCTAATTTGCTCAAGCAACAAGACTCTGATAATCAAGACGGCAAAATGTTTAAACAGCAGGATTTTAAACCAAGTTCCCTTCTGCAGCACAAGAAACTTCTAGTGTCCAAAGCCGGCACACTTCACTCACAAACACAAAGCCCTCTCTTTGTAACCATCAAATACCCACCTTTTGATAAGGTTCCTCAATGCTGGTGGAAAAGCTTAATTCGCACAAAGCTATCCAACAGTGCTAATTTTTACATGGCATGTTATATTTCCTTAGGTAAGATTAATAGAAAATCTGAAAAATTTGCAACAAGCACACAAATACTACCTTCTGTAACACAACCTGACCCTACCATCATACCATTTTAGAAGGAAGTCTGTTTAAAATAGTGATTCTCAAACAGGCAATTTTGACTTCTTATCATCACCATCGGAGGGGAGAAGACTGCATCCTAGCGAGGCCAAGAACATCACTTCACATTGTCAACAAAACTGATCAAGCCAAAATGTCAACAGCGCCACCCAGGTTGAGAAATCGAATTTTATAAAGCTCTAAATTAGATGCTCCCACCTCCCTCCCTCCGCATCTCTAAAAATTAATTAATTAATTAATTAGATGATCACTAGGCCTTACCAAATTAGATTTTACGGCTCAGAAATAATTCTACAAAATTTACAGCCGGCTGGGTGCGGTGGCTCATGCCTGTAATCCCAGTAGGGGTGAGGCAGGCAGATCACGAGGTCAGAGTTCAAGACCAGCCTGACCAACATTGTGAAACCCTGTCTACTAAAAATACAAAAATTAGCCAGGCATGTTGGTGCGTGCCTGTAATCCCAGCTACTCAGGAGGCTGAGGCAGAATTGCTTGAACCCAGGAGGTGGAGGTTGTGGTGAGCACAGAGTGCCACTGTACTCCAACCTGGACGACCAGAATGAGACTGGGGCTTGGGGGCGCGGCCAGACTTACAGCCTTGACCAGGCCCATTGGCTCACGTCTGTGCAACATGGCAAAACCCCGTCTCTACCAAGAGACAAAAACTACGTGGACATGGTGGTATGTGCCTGTAACCCCAGCTAACTCAGGAGGCTGAGATGGGGGGATTACCAAGGCTGAGTGAGCTGTGATTGTGCCACTGCACTCAGGCCTGGGTGACAAGAGCCAGACCCTGTCTCAAAAAAAAAAAAAAGTCTTTTAACCATTTCTACCTATGGCCAAAATAATGTGAGCAGATCATGACCTTTCAGAATACTCACAAATGGGTACCTTAAGACACTGTGTACAAGTTACTGAACTGGAACTAAGGCGTGGGCGGCTTGGTATGCCATACTTCCTGAACTTAGAAAATAGTTGCAAGTGTAGCATAAAGCTTCAGTTCACAAAATTTGGTAAGTTAGGACTTGCTGTGTTACTGGTCAAAGTTCAGGACTGTTCCTATACTAACAAATTGTACTCTATCCTAGCTAATAAGAGAATAAAAATACCCCTAGAGGCAGTTTCTACTCCCAGAACAGCAGTACTTTAAACATTCCTGACTAGGTATGAGGACAGGTATTATTCGCCAAAGTCCATGTAACCAAGCAGTTAAGTTAAGGCCAACCTGTTACTGTCAAGGAAGGAGAACCCCCTAGTTAAAAATAGCACTAGACTGGAAAGGATTATCACCTAGTCCTTCAGTAACAGGTTTCAAGCTCCCTGCTGGGCTCTTCCGGTCCATGTGCTCAACTTGCTTCAGTCCATTCACCATCATAAAGCAGAGAAACCTAAAGCTGTTCAGAATCAAAGGTCCCAGGAGGCAGTCAGGATTCCCAATGCTGTTATACATGATTTGCCACAGAATTGATAAACTAATGGAAACATGATTCAACCCCCATGGATTCATGAGTGGGCACCTAAACATGGTGCCCACTTACGTAATGCCTTTCTGCAAACCTAGAAGGTGCATGTTCTTTTTATGAGAACAAGGTTATTTCTGCATAATCTCCAATTATTTCTTCCAACCCACTAAAAATTCCAGTCATCTGAGAACTCCCATCCAGTCAGGGTGGGAGAAGGGAAGACAGTTCTATCTCCTTGAGTGTCATAAAGGTTTCATTCTGGTTTTCAGGACCTAGACTCAGCAAAACCCTAGTTTTCTAAATTTTAAAATCGAAAAACAGGCTGGGTACGGTGGCTCACACCTGTAATCCCAGCACTTTGGGAGACTGAGGCCGGCAGATCACCTAAAGTCGGAGTCCAAAGACCAGCCTGGCCAACATGGTGAAACCCCATCTCTACAAAAATACAAAAATTAGCCGGGCACAGTAATGGGTGCCTGTAATTCCAGCTACTTGGGAGGCTGAGGCAGGAGGATCGCTCGAACCCGGGAGGTGGAGGTTGCAGTGAGCCGAGATCTGCTATTATGTTCCAGCCTGGGCGACAGTGAGAAAAAAAAGAAAAAAAAAAACAATCTTTCTCATTAGTAGAGAACCAGTTAGGAACTAAATTAACCATGCATCTCTTCCCCTGAACTATATTTTCTGAAGAAGACAAACCCCAACACCTTCTGCTAAAGAATGTAACATAATAGTGTCTGGCTACCAGACACGCTTGACAGGCTCTTCCCTTTCAGTTTTGCTGAATTAGCCAAAATGAGTATTGGACTAGAATTCAAAACCCTGAAGAATCAGGGTATGTCCTACCTTATTAGTGGGGCTTAACTCCATCCTCAGGGAAATTATCGGTAGGGCAGTTAAACATTTTAACACATAAAACATTTCAGTTGACTAATGAAACTGTATTAAGGCAAGAAGAGGCTGCCCAGGACTTGGTTTCCCATTATTGCATACTTGCCTCAAACTGCCTTTCAGTTAACCATAACACAGTTAACACCATCTAGACCAGACCAGCATTAGCGGGGATCGGAAAACAAAAATAAAGCCAGGCATCAGGGTGATTATTTCGTTTTATTATCTCCTTATTCCTGTAATTTAAAAAGGAAAACAAAGCTACGTAACTCTCTTCACTACAGATACGGACAAAGTTTCTGTAGTATCTAAAACCAGTAGGCAGGAAATGGCCTTCCTAACCGTCCTCCAATTTTGCTGGAGGATCAGGGGTGGTGGGAAAGTCAAGTTGCAGGCCGGGCTCGTAATCCCAGCACTTTGGGAGACCGAATCGGGCAGATCACGAGGTCAAGACCAGCCTGACCAACATGGTGAAACTGCACCTCTACTGAAAAATACAAAAACTAGCTGGGCATGGTGGCGCGCGCCTGTAATCCCAGCTACTAAGGAGGCTGAGGCAGAAGAATCACCTGAACCTGGGGGACAGAGGCTGTAGTGGGCTGAAATCGTACCATGGCACTCCAGCCTGGGAGACAGAGCGAGACTCCGTCTCCAAAAAAAAAAAAAAAGAAAAAAAAAAAAAAAAAATCCAGACACACACACACACAAACAGGTGCAATAATATACTGTACTATCAGACTGGGGTGAAGCAATCTAGTCCTTTTACCTAGCTGACTCTGAATCAAGACAACTAAAACAAATGTACCAGCAAGAAAGAAAAAACAAAATGCTAAGAAAATCCCCATATAGTGTATCTACCCTTTATGGAGAAAAGTACCCTTATAATGTTTTACAGTGAATCGTGGTCAAGTTTGCACTTTCAGTTTTAGTAATAAACAACTTTCAAAGAAAACACTCTAAACAAGACCCTCCCGCATACAAAGCTCTATTTCAGTAATTAATGCAACAATGATACCTTTGTTGCAACAATCCAGCCGCTTTGAAACTTTGGTATCTACTTACTAGATGAACAAGTTTCTCTATGGAGGTGTCTTTGACTTCAAGAGATGTGTAAGACGGGCTCCAAGTTACATTTTAGAGAGCCTTGTATTTTTAGACGTTCTTTTTCACCTATCAGAAAAACTTACGTTGACGATTCCGCATGAAAGGTTGTGGCTCACGAACCATGCATCACAAAACTAACAAGGCAAACTTAAACAGTGAAAGAGTGGAAGCTAGTCTCGGAATCTTCAACTGGCTACGGTAATCTCAGTTTATTGCATTAATTAATCTTTTAGACCTCAAGATACACGTGGCCTACGGATAGTTTACATCAATGAACAAGGCTTAAAAATAAAACCCAAGTTCAGCAAGTACTTGAGCACCTACTAAAAATGACACAACTCCCACAACAACGCATTTAGCGTTTCTAAAGTTGTAAAAAGCATGTTCGGAAACTTCATGGAATTTCCCAAGTTGTTTGGGCCAAAAACACATGTTTTCTCAAAAGAAGGGGGAGAGGTGGAAAGGGGGGGGCATTTTGAGGGCAACAAAGCAAACTGGTCTGTCGCATGTTAAGTGAATTTCTCGTTCACCTACTGGTCACCGCGAAGTCAAGATAGGTTTTAATAGGAACACATTGTGGGGTCTCCAGGGATCAGCTCTCTAAGTCCGCTCGGTATGGGCGCCGGAGCCGGGGCTAAGGTCCCGCGTCTCTGGTTCTATCCCCAAGAGGGAATCCGGGGTACACACACAGGGGTTCCCCAGGGCAGCCTTCAGGGAAGACGAGGGAGAGGGGCTGCCCGGGTCTCACGGGTGTTTCCCGCGCTGGGGATGGCAGCGTGCAGCCAAGGCCCAGGGGCGCGCAAGGCCAAGAATGTGGCGACCCAGGAGCTCGAGGGGCCGCCCGCGCTGGAGCCTGAGGCGGGGAGGAGCTCACCTTGCTGCGGTCCTCCTCCTGGTGCTGCAGCAACTCGGGAACCGCGGCCATGACGACGCGGGACTCGAGCAAGGGCCGCCTGGCTGTGCGAGGAAAGAAGAGGCTGGACCGCCGCCGCCTGGGCGCCTCTCAGGGGCGGCCACGGCCCCGCCTCCGCCGGCCTCCCTGTCCGACGGCAGCAGGAGGCCTCCGGACTCCGCCACCATCCCAGCTGCCCCGGGAGCAGGCGAACAAGGCGCCACGTGCTCCCCCAGAGCGGCCTCCCAGTCCCCGCTGCCGTCCATCTTGGAGCCGGGCAAAGACGCCACGCGGGGCCTACCCTTGGTCCGCTCCACTAGGAGGCCGCCGACCGCAGGGCCGCGATAGGCACGCGAAGCCACGGACACTCTCCCAGCACCGCGCGCCTGGAGAAAGACCGCGTTTCGGTGCAGGGGGATTTTATTACGCAGCCCGAGTCCAAGATGGCGGCGAGCGCTGACGTCACCAGATGTCGTGAGAGCAGAAGGGCGCGATTTGGCGGCGCCCGCGCTTCGGAGACGCCCGCGCTCCCGAGACGCCCGCGCTCCCGAGACGCCCGCGCTTCCGAGACGCCAACTCTTCCGCTCGGAGGAGGGACTCCCTGCCGCTAGCTGGTCCTCGGTGGGGCGTGAGCGCCGCGGGGCATTCTGGACCTGCTTTGCCTGAGGCTGTGCCTAACTTGAAACCAAAGCGCGGGACGGGGGAAAGTACGGGACGCGGGAAGTTGCTCGCGCCGTAGGAGTTAAGCGAAGTGTGGTGGCTTCCGAGGTACCGACCCTTGCTGTAGGCTGGGCTTCCATTTAAGTCGTCTTTTCCCTAATCCAGACGCCTGCCCCAGGGGCCACCGCCGCACGGGCCCTGCCCGGGGTCCGCACTCACGGCGGAGCGGGAGGCTGCTTTCTGCGGGTCACGGTAATGGGACCTCAGCGCCGCCACCAGCTCTGACCGGCGGCGAGCCAGCGGCCCCTCCAGCCCGATTTCCACGTCTGTGCCACGGGCTCATTCTAGACCAACACTAGAGGGTGAGGACCAAATGAGAAGTGTCCACACAGAACGCTTAGAAGAGAGCCTAGCCGGGCGCGGTGGCTCGAGCCTGTAATCCCAGCACTTTGGGAGGCCGAGGCGGGTGGATCACGA